CACACATGTGCTAATTTCCGGTCATGGAAAAACTCAACTTTTGAAACCTTTTCTGGATTAGTCATTGTTTTTTCCTCGGAAAAGGAAAGATTCATGATTCATGTATATTGTTCATTCTTCCTTTTCGATTATATCGGGTTTTGGTGTTATATATGCTGCTGGTGCTTGCTGATAGGAGCCTAAGACAGCTGCTGCATAGACAAATGGCAATAATCGTAAGGAAGAAAATAAAAATAAAAAGGACCAGCTTTTTCTCAACGTACAGTTAATATGAAAATGAATTTTACTCTGTTTTAAAGTATTAGTAATTTAGTTTTTTATTTATGGTACAACTTGAAGTTATATCTTTAATATTATGATACAACCTTATCTATATTTTTTTGTAAAATCTATTTATGGTACAAACCAAAGTTTTACTTTTATGTTATGGTACAACTTGAAGTTGTATCATAACATAAGATCAAATTTTCTTATGGTATAATTTGAAATTGTACTTTTAACATTATAATATAACTTGAAACTGTAATTCAAAACATCAATACTTTGAAGTTAATACCTGATAATATGGAATCTGATATTGTTGGATGGCAGTGGGTGCATGGACTGTTAACTTTGGTCCCAAAACGTGTGGTAATAGTGCTGCGAGTCAACGAATATGGCAAATAAAGAGCATGTCGGTCATAGTTAATTGATTATATTATCTTTCATGAAAGAAAAGAACCCCTAATTAGTAGCCATTAATTAAACAGTCATCATTAGAACTCTACTGATAAAACAAATCGTTTGTTTTCCTAGCCTTAATCATTTAGTCAATGGGTGGGCATGAGAAAAAGAACCGAAACCCAGAGTTTATTTAATGAAGGGATGGTGAGGGAGATGCCTATGTTCGAAGAGGCTGGTCTTGAGGGATGAGTGCATCTCAAGACGCCGTACAGGATTCGGAAGTCTATGTTCGTGACAAGTGGTGTCAGAGTCTGGTTAAGCTGAAGAGTCTAGTTCTTCTCTTAGTACGGCGTAGGTCGAATATGGGCCGACCCTATGCCAGAATGAGAGGCGGTACTAGGTGTGCATCAGGCGGTCTGGATGCATATTCACATGTGTTGCACCGTTGTGGGGGACCTCGACGGGCTGGAGAATGCTGCGGCCGAGAATGCCGTTCAACCGAGGAACTAACGCTAGCGAGAGCGTAGAGTGAATGTCGATTGAGGTACAAACGCTGGGAGAAGCGTAGGGTGAAGGTCGACTGAGGTACTAGCACAACAGAAGCGAAGAGTGAAGGTTGATGTCAAGGGGCGAAGCGGTATGTGCGCGGGGCACAACAGGCTAGCGCGAGAGACGCGAGCGGAGCCTGTCCATCAGAGGATTGTATCGTATGCGAAGGCCCACAATCGGTTCGAGTGCTGCAATACATGCTGCGGAGAGAAGCATTCTTCACCAGCACGAGGACGTGTTGCATTATGAGTGGTGGAGAATGTCACGACCCGAAATATCGTGACCGTGTTGACCGTCTGAAGAACGCTGCCATCTGTTGTCTTGCCACAAGAGGGGTAAAGGGGGCGACATTAGTGATAAGGCGTTGTCTGCCTGTGCATCATTTCTGGCCGAGTCAGGATGTGGCTATGAAGGAAATCGTTGCAAGAGAAGGCACAACTGGTCGGAGGCTATTGCCGTCTCCCTGATGAGCCTAAGGCAGGGCGAAACTAGTTGGCAGGGGCGGAGCTACAGCTTGGCTGGGGGGGGGGGGGCGAGAATCTCGAAAGTTCCGAGTAAACCCCACGAGCTTCCTGAAATTTTTGTATTAAATAAGGCTAAATATTAATATAGTTTAGTGTGCATTATAGTGATAAGAAACGTGTAGTAGACCAGCGGATGAGAATGCTTAAATTAACCCCAAGTCAGCGGTTCAAAATCGGGCCTGGTAGTTTTTGCTTACTTTTTTAAACTTTTAGTTGAAAAAATGTCTTAAAAGTAGTCATTCAACAACCTAATATTTTGCTTTCCTCAAATTCTTTAATTTAAAACTTGATGGATTAACTTTTCAACTTCAATTTTTTTACGATAAATTTTGTAAATTGAATTTTGTAAAACTTGAATGAATTGTTCTCCAGATACTTATATATTCATTTTCTAAATTATGAAATTATGATGGATATATAATTTAAAACACACCATTAATTTTTTTTCTATTCTAAAGTATATTGAACCTGCCATGGTAAAAAAATTTAGTTTAGATTTTATTTTGAATGATTTTAATCATGTTTAAAAATTATAGTTATCCTCATATTTCAATTTTTTTCTTTTATTATTTTCATTAATTTTAACGTCTTTTTGCTGTATAGAGTATGAAGCTCCGGCCCCCCCAAACACCAAATTCTGGCTCCGCCTCTGCTAGTTGGCATGTGTATGCGGAGAGGCTGATCTTGGGGGATGAGTGGACCTCAAAACGCCGCACGGGTTTCGAAAGTCTATGTCCGTGACAATACCCGCTGAAACTATGGAGTTGCGGTGTGCAATTGCATCGGATCAAAATAATGTTTACATCATATCTTATACTAAACCAAAGTCCAAATATATATAATTAGTACTATTTTTTGGTTTTATGAATTTTATAAATAAATATATCGAATGGACATTTGAATGGTACGGAATATATTATTCGTCCATCATTTTCCTGACGATCTGAACTAGACCGAACAGTTGCATAGCGGTGGGCGATAACATGGTGGCGGATCTACTCACGAGGCGTTGAGTTCCCTTCGACTTCCAACCTTTATTATGATTACATGTAAAAATTTATCAAATTTGAGAACAAAACAATTGACAAAGATTCCTGCTCCCCATTTACCAATGTGTCAATCTCTTGAGCTAAATTTTATGGAACATCCTCCTCAAATCTAGCTGCTAGCTGCTAGCTTCTAGCTTCAGTACTGTTGGCACTCTGGGCATACACTTGTGCCACCAGATGGCCACTTTGCTATGTTGTGAATATAATGGATAATTGAACCGATAATGAGGGTTATCGGTTAAATCAATAACTTATCGAATCTTCTTTTTTGGGTAGGATAGTTGTAGTTACCGGTAACCGAGCAAAATAATTAGTAGTTAGCGGTTAATCAAATCCATATTCAATTAGGCATAATAAATTCTTTATAAAATCAATATAGTTGGCATCGTAAAAATTATTATTTAATCTATAAATTAGTACTCTATTAATTTAAGAACTTTTTTATAATGTATATGGTTAACATAAACAACTTTATAACCTTAAAATCATACTCATACATGGTGTGCTAATTTTATTTTACTACAAAAATAAATTTTTATACTTAATTATTAAGGTTCATTGTATTACCTTAATTTTACAAATGGATACATAATTACTCTGAATGCTCCATAAATATTCATCATATCCTCCAAATATTTCAAATTCATACGATAACTTATAAGATTCTACGTATTTATTATACTCAAATTTAATAGATGAAAACTATGTATTCATGCATGCTTTAGTTTAGTGTCCAAGATAAATATTCAACACTTTCGAAACAAGTTGTACGAAAGGACGCGCTTAAAGCTGCCAGAAAAACAGCATTCGTAGCAATTTCGAGCCTTTTGTTTGAAGCCTTCCAGATATTCAATCTTTCATCCAATGCCTTACCTTTGTAGACAAACATAACTACTTGCACTTGGTAGAGGCCCCTGGACTCGACTCTCATCCGTGCCTCTCGAATTGAGCTCCAAAGTAGTCTTCACAAACACGTTCTCAGACTCAGCCATTTTCAGGTAGTTTCCCAGTTTTGGCATAGCCTTTTGATCAGGTTAAAAAATGATCTTCTGTACATCCTATCTAGCTCCCAAGTAGTTCAATATGTAGAGGGACACTCCATCTTCAAAACAAGACATTAATCTCCAATTTTCATCGAGCCAATTGTAAGATATGAATATCCAAAGTAGGCACCATGAAACTGTTTTTACACTGAAACAACAAATTAGATCGACCTAATTCTATATGAGGTCGACCGAAAAATGCAAGTTACGGCGACTTGCAAGTCACCGTAGCAGATTCCAAACACTTTATAAAAGCCATATGAATTAGACAAAATCAGTTGGTTAACCCAGGGTTCAAGAAGGATCGCCTTGACTTGGCCATAGGCGTTGAAAAAGGGGTTGGTAGCGCTTAGTAGATAGGAATAGCGCTTAGTTTGCGCCTAATGGAGAGAAGGCGTGCCTAGGCGTTCCTGGGAGAGCTTAGGCGGTTAAACCCAATACTCTTCGTTTTGTCCTAGAAAATCAGAAACTTGCCTCTTGCTCTAGAAAATCAGAAACACGGGAAGTAACATCTGCTACCGGCTGCCGCCCTAGCTCTCGCCCCATCTTCTACCGCCTGCCGCCCTAGATCTCGCCCCATTTGCTGCTCTCTGCCGCCGCAGGAGAAAGTCATCGATCACTCTTCTCGCCTTCACACCGCTCCGCTCCTATAGTGGGAAATAAAGTCGAAACTCGTCAATTGCTGCTCCTTCCTTCTCTTCAGTACGTAGCACAAGCTTCTTGCCTCTATAAGAACCTATTAGCAGATGATTGGTCACTATTTGCTTGTTATTTGTTATGTTCAAGTGTTTACTGTCAAGAACTAGGCATTGCTAATTTTATATGCACGGGGATTATATGAATTATTCCAGAAAACAGGAAATATTTGAGAATTTTTCCATTTATGCTCTAAACGCCTAGGCGCGCCTAGACTACTTCTAATCGGGCCAGGCGCAAGTCAGGAGCCGAGCGCCTGCCTTACGCCTGGCGCCTTTTAAACCTTGGGTTAACCTATCTTTTGGCCCACATTCTCTTCAATTGGGCCTAAATCAGATTTGGTGTTAAGTATTGAATGGCAGACAGCAGTCCAATCATTGGAACAAGAGAACCCATAAATCAAGGGGCAGTTTTGTAAACATGCGCGCATCTGAAATGATCTTTGAATCTTGATGACAAGACCATAAGATTGAGCCTTGAGGTACCGCCCGCCCGCCAGCCAGCATCCCGTTAAATTTCAAAAATCTTGCGGAGCGGAAAACCATACAAAAGAAGTGACGAGTGAGAGAGAATATTTCTCAGTAATCAAACGGCTACACGGCGCGACGAAAATCAAGATCGGGGTTCTTCACATGGAGAAGATCTGCGTAGCCGTGAGGGTCAGGCCGCCGGTGGCTTCTTCGTCTCCGGACACAACTTCCGCCAGAACTTACTGGAAAACCGAAGATAACCATATCTCTCTCCACAAGTCCGGCGGCACTCCCATCTCCGGCGTGTCTTATGCTTTCGGTATGGCTACCTAGCTCGTCCAATTTTATGTTCTAACGATTTGGAATCCTCTCGGATCGCTTTGTTTTCGGTTTCAGCCGGTTCAGAGCTGCGGGCTGAATGCGACTTCAAATGTGACTGTTGTTGGTTTTGGGTAATGTTCTGCAGATCACGTGTTTGATGAAGCTTGCTCGAATTCTAGGGTTTACGAGCTTCTCACCAAGGATATAATCAATGCCGCCGTTGAAGGATTCAACGGTAAGTTTCTCTCTCTGCACGGCTGACGGTATCTCCCCTTTTGGAAATCTAGGTTACTTTTCAGTTTTCTTGTGGATTTGCTTTCGGGTTCCGATTAGGGGTTCTTTTATAGCTAGCGGCCGGTCATGAACTTTTCCATTCTTCAAAATTGAAAAGCATGAAGTCTAAGTAGTGTGTTTGAGCATGGAGTTCCCTTCTAAAAGATTGAGAATGGTTATCAGGAACTGCATTTGCTTATGGACAGACAAGCAGTGGCAAGACCTTCACCATGAATGGATCGGAAAAGGACCCAGGAATTATTCACAGGGCAGTCAGAGACATATTTGATAAAATACAAGCTGTAAGCTACTGCAAAATGGACATCTGTTTTCTCTTTTCCCCTTTTCCTTTCCCTAGGTTAGTGCAGAATGAGGTTTTGTGATTTCGTGGTGATAGAAGCGAGTTCTTGAATGCCACATTTCCATGCAGGTATCTGATAGGGAGTTTCTCATAAGGGTTTCCTACATGGAAATCTACAACGAAGAAATCAATGATCTTTTTGCTGTAGAGAACCAAAAATTGCCAATACATGAGAGTTTGGAGGTTTGGTTGCTTCTTCACAAAAAGATTCTTGCATTTCAGTTGCTCTCCCTTGGAAAAGTAATGCTCATAACAATCATCATTTGTAGAGAGGCATATTTGTTGCCGGTCTCAGAGAGGAAATTGTGAGCAATGCTGCACAAGTGCTGAAGCTCATGGAATCAGGAGAAGGTTCTTAAAAGCCAGTCATAATTCCCATTTCTCTCTGGTGTGATTGCTTCAATTCTATAACAATACATCCTTTGTACTCCTTGTGCAGTCAATAGGCATTTTGGGGAAACGAACATGAATGCTCGTAGCAGTAGATCTCACACCATATTTAGGATGGTATGTCCCCCATGGTTTCACATTGGTTAGGGGTATAAATTAAACCGTTCATCATTTGTTCTCATTCACTTTGATTTCTTTTCTCTTGACCTATTTCCAGGTGATTGAGAGCAGGGGAAAAGAGCCAAACCCGTCAGGTGATTATTCAAGTTGTGATGCTGTTCGAGTCTCTGTACTGGTGTGTCATCTTTTCGAATCTCTGATAAACGATTTCAGATTCATAAACTTAACGCATTATGTTGTAATCTTGCTGAGGCACTTTTACGTTCCTTATTTTGTGGATGTAGAATTTGGTGGATTTAGCTGGTTCAGAAAGAATTGCCAAGACAGGGGCTGGGGGTGTTCGTTTGAAAGAAGGAAAATACATTAACAAGAGTTTGATGGTTCTTGGTAATGTTATAAACAAACTAAGCGATGGTGGAAAGCAAAGGTACTGGTCGATGCTGCCTTTTGCTGCGGTGGTATGTTGATAATTCATAGGACCTACTTAACTGAAGGCAACTTAATGTAGGGCGCATATACCATATCGTGACAGTAAGCTAACTCGTATACTTCAACCTGCTCTTGGGGGTAATGCCAAAACTTCAATTATATGCACACTAGCTCCGGAAGAGGTACACTAGCGTTTATATAGTACTCAATCCTTTTTCTGCTTACGTTTTCACTTCCCGGAATTCTAGAATGGAAAAAATAATAGTTTTTAGGAACTAAAGGAAGATTGACTTGTTTCATTGGTCAGATTCACGTTGAGGAAACTAAAGGAACTCTGTTGTTTGCTAGCCGAGCCAAACGCATCACGAATTGTGCTCAAGTGAATGAGGTCTGTTTTCACAGACTTGATCATGAATACTTATGGTTTCCTTGTCTAGTGACATCAGATGAAAAATATTCATTTTCACGCTGCCTTCTGCTGATTGTTGCTGATTTTTACCGGATTTCTTAAACCTTCAACTTGACTCTAAAATGAGACTAACTTGAGGTTCATTTTCTCCCTAGATTCTGACTGATGCGACCTTACTGAAGCGACAGAAGTTAGAGATAGAAGAGCTCCGAAGGAAACTTCAGGTAAAGATCCTCTCTTGTTTGTTATAATTTGTCCAAGAAGGAGCTATTGGATTCAATTCATACATTTCCTGTCAGGGGTCTCATGCTGAAGTGCTGGAGCAAGAAATTCTGAAATTGAGGAATGATATGCTGAAGGTTGGTTCCAGTTATGATCCACATGAACACATGCGTAGAGTAACATAAGTTCCATCACCTGCATTTTGATGCTTGTTTCTGTTTCCAATTCCCAGTACGAGTTAGAAAGGGAGAAGCTTGCAACGCAGCTCGAAGAGGAGAGGAAGTCACAAAAGGAGAGAGAACAGTGCATTAGGGAGCAGCAGATGAGAATCGACAACCTAAACAGTATGGCAACCTCTTCAGACTGTGATAGGAGCTCTGGCCAGGTATGAATCAAGGAAAGGTTTGAGTTTTGTATCGCTGTCTTTCAAAGTGGAATTTTGCAGCTGATTTTGTCTCGTCCATTGTATTGTTTTAACTCCATGATTTAGCTATTTGTCTCCTGATATTTCTTTGGCTAAGTGTTCATGGTGCTACTGGAGTAGCTCCCTCCCTCCAAGTACTTTAACCTAACTGTTCAAGTGGTAACTAGTGATCAGGGTTGATACTTGATCGAGTGGTAACTAGTGATCAGAATATTCACTCCCAGTTTAGGATCGAGTTCTAGGTCCAACATTACTTTTGAGTATATATTCCCAACATGCCTCCACACACGTTAAGATACATACCGTTACTTCTGGGTTATAAATGCTTTACACATCAACTGATTTCTTAAACTCATAGGTTCAGCGTGCTGGTTTATCAAGACTGCCAGTAGAATTCAGTGAAAACAGCAGCACTTGCCAAGAAGATTTGTTCGGAACTCCAAGCTTTAAAGCTGCTCCTAATGCATTTGTTTCAAAAAGATCCAACTATGCGAGGCTCGATGACTACAGTCCTCTTCCAGAAACGTTGAGCAACGTGGCTGATGAAGACACCTGGATGAAATTAAACAACGGCTTCACGGTTGACTTTGATTCCATTCAAATGACCCCGGCGAGGAAAGCTCAGTCCTTCCCGTCAAATGAAGTCACTGCTGTGAGTACATGATTCTCGTTTCTTCATAAAGTTTGCTAACTGTTCCTCTACCTTAGCTTTCACGTTCATATATGTCGTTCTCCTAGTTTCGAACTACTAACTTTAGATTGAAACTTTAGTGCGTGTTAGAACATGATATCAAGACTTTGCTACAGCACATACTGGTATATCGTTGCCTGATATCTACAATTTGTACTCTTTTCCAGGGGCGTTCAACTGAGAAGTACAGTCAAGAGGTCCAAAATCTCAAACGAGAACTGCAACTTATCACTGAGGAGAAGAATGGTCTCAAGGTTCGCATGCCAAGTTTTCGCATTTTTCTCGTCCAATGCAACTTGAGTTTGATTTCGGAAAACCATAATGTATAACGATTATATGTTCATAATTGCAGGAGAAGCACTCAGAACTATCGCTACTCTCCGACCGTTTGATGCAGGAAAAATCAGAACTTGAGCAGAGAGTAGACTTGGTTAGTCAAATCCCTTGGAATTTTCTCCAATGTATTGCAAGCGCAATCAGCAGCTACGAAGAAGCTTATTCGACATTACAGGTTGACAGTTTTAGCTAATCTGACCTATAGCCTTCAAATTTTTTTCTTATAGTTTATAGCCTTCATTGTGCAGACATCAAATCACTTTCTCCAACCGTGGGTTTTAGCCTTAATCTCACTTTCTCCAACCTTGGTTTTGAACAGAGTTGTGCACGGGATGAAGAAACTTCAACAGCAAGATTGCTCTCTGGAACCAGAGAAATTGGGATCACCCTCTTATCAAATCTGGAAGGCCTGGTCTCCCGTGCAATGGATCATGACTTTGAACCCTTCCCAAGGGTAGATGATTCTGCACTTGATCAGCAGTTAAAAATACTGTCGGAGGGGTTAAAAGTCACAGTTGCATCACTGGCAACATCGGAGTCTAAGGTAGCTGCTTGGTCACAATCATCATCAAGATATCTTATATCAATACTTGTCCTATTTTCTGCCCTTCTCTTTGGTATGTTTGCTTCCCATTTCGCACCCAGTAATGATTTTACGGTTTGTCTACCAAACTCACTCTGAATGTCAATCAAGGAATGCTGCACTTCCACTGGACAAACTGCTCCAAGCGATGACAAGAAAATGGGGAGTGAACTTAAGGCAATCAAGGTGAAACATGAAGAGCTGGAGAAAGAGTTGGAACAGAAGAACAAGCTTCTGGAGGTTTCTGGAGATAAATACATCAGCTTGGAAAGAGATGTCCAGCTTCTGAATCGAGAGAGGGAATCGCTTGTCCATAGAGTTTCTGAGTTATCTGAGAAACTTGATCTGGCAACCAACCAGAAGGAGAACGTGGTGAAGGACTTGAACTGCGAAGCACAGCGAAGGAAGAACCTGGAAGCTGACATCAAACAGGTCAGTGTTGCCTTCGCCGGCCGGCAGAAATCGTTCATAACTTTGGACAGTGAGTTCCGGTCCAAAATGGAGCAGCTTAGATCCCTCCTGCATTCGGGTTCAGTATCATCCAAACCTCTTGGATTGTTGAATTCCTGATAAATGAGACAGAGGGGGGGAGAGAGAGAGAGGTTTAAAGAACTAGGGCAACTCCCTTGTTTAATACTGTAATATTAGGGAAATTATGTTAGACTTCGGTTTTGCTTGCAGTATTTATGTGATTGAACGTGTCTAATTAGGTGCTTTGACCCATTGAGATTAGAGGTGGCTATTTGGTCCCGGCTTTTTGGTTTTATTCGAAATCAAATTGTATAACTCGAACCGAGATCGGATTGGATCGGGTAGCAAACAATTCAATCTAATTTTTCAGGCTTGGATTTGAAGTCAAAATCGTTCGGAATCGGACCAAAAGTCGGATAAAGACCGGATAAGAGAGCTCAACACTCAAAATTTAACCAACCCCTCACCCTTTCAGGTCTCGGGCAACTCAAATCCCCACAAGCTCAATCTAAAATAAAGACCAAATTGGGATCTGACCAGATCAAAATCAAACTGTATCCAATCCAATATTTGGTCCTTATATTCTCGAAAAGATTAGACCGGAACTGGATCAATTCGGACCATTTTAACCGAACCGAACGTATAGCCACTGATCCTCATAATCACCTGAGATTATTTGGTACTTAATTGTATTTGTACCTATTTCTATAGTTTCCTATACGGGCTAAGACATGTTTGGTTATTGAGTTTAATATTTATTTTTTCATTTTTGCCGGTTAATTTTAATTACACTAGTGATCATTAATTTTACATTTTCGGTTCATTCTTGGCGACTATCCGTACATCTCTATTATATTCAATTAATGTTGTAACATCCCCTATCTGGGTTAAATTTCACATCAAACCGGTTCGACGTTGGAACAAAGAACACCAACAATAGTAGGAATGAATTCTACAGGTTTGGAAAAAACTATGAGTACTCGTCAATTAAAGACGTGATATAAGTCGAGAGAATAAATATGGCATGAATGAATTATGATAAGGGCGAAAATACGAACAAGTGAGCTCAGACGTTGACAGATTCTGATGTGATAAAAAAAATATTGACCACCAAGATTCAAACCAGCGGCTGCACACTACTTGTGCATAAATTTCATAGTAAATATTATTACTTACTATCTGACGAGATCAGATTCTGAAGAAACAAACGTAACTTCTGTCCAAAATAATTGAATCCATCCCATTACATTAACTCACCACCAGCATGTATTATAATTTATGTGTAAGAATACAAGGAGGAGGGATAGCCACGTCTCTCTCTTTTAGTTTGATATTTATAAAGGAAAAGCAACACCAACCCACCATTTCCATGAGCTGCACTAGCACTAGGGTCTGGATTTGAAATTAATGCCTCCCAACTGTATGTTCATCCATTGAATAAGGACCTCAACCATTCTGTGAGTGGTTGGTACTGTTACGAAGAGGACGATCCCAGGAGCACGCACGTTTCGACGGAATTAATTTTCGACGTCAGACGAGAGAGAAACGAGCCTCGCAAGTTGGCCACGTAGAACTGTCAGTTTCTCAAAGTCAGGTACTATTTCTGTCAATTCGAAAGGTTTGAGGATCTGGAAGGACTTTTTCCATAGGAAGGGTCAACGACCCGTTTGACTGGAAAATGTTATTTACAGTACTTGAAATTTCGAGAACTGACAGAATTCGTATTTTGGCTGTAATTCGTTCGTTTGACGTCCAAACGACGAACCGTTTTCGCCTACAGGATTGTAGAGACGAGGATAATTTTATCAAGGAGTATTGGAATTTTTACAGCAGCTGTGCAGAGTTGAATTACGTCATAAATAAGGTATGTGGACCCTGCGGTGAATAGGCGGTGTTTTACTACGTGCTATGTGTTTAATATTGAAACATAGCTGAGGATTTGACGAAGATAAAATGAAGAATGTCGTTATTATGATTTGGATACTCGAGTAGAATTGGATGATTCATAATCGAGTATTTGGAATTTACGATCTTGTAATTGATCCCTACGAATCGTGAAATTCCTTGAGACTTCGTTGTAATTATTAATAATTCATGACGTAATTATTAATAGTTACTTGGGTATGAAAAATAACACGTATTTAAATAAGAATGATTAATATTTGAAATATTTTATGTATGATTTATACGTTGTGTATTGGCATATTCAATGATTTATAACGAGCTACGTACAAATGACAATGGTGCATATGATCCGTCCAAAATTAAAGATGTACTTATTCAATATCTACAAAAAATTTCCACCAAATCATAGCTAGTTCGTAAAAATAATTTTATTTCAATCAGGGATAAGAAGAGTGTAACGGGTGGCTCCAAATGATGAAAATGAACAAATTAGTGTAATAGTTAATTAAGAATAAAACTTAGGGCACTTCTAATTGAGAATGGTTGACCGAGAGATCATGTGTTCTGAATATTGACGACCCAATTTGTTAAACACATGATATTCGGAGTTGCGGAAATTTTAAGCACGTATTAGTTGGTTTTTGTTAGGAGAAAAGTGTTAGTAAATACTAAATACTATAGATCAGTTATTAAATCTAACCCAACAAATCGATTTATTGATGCTAAACGGTCTTGACATAGAACATCATTCAAAAGCAAATGTCTAACTAGATAATAAATAATTCTTTGATAAATATGAAGTGATATTCTTAATAGTTACTATATATATTTAATTTGCCATGTTTTGTAAATACAAAATTATATTATGAATGATTTAAAAAGCTAACAAAAATATGAGATCGTAAGTATTTTTTTCTAAATGTACCCACCCTCAACAAAATCCTGGCTACATCACCCCTGATTGGCAATATACTAATTTTGTACCTAGCTAACTAATGATAGGCAATTTCAGTCAGTTCGACTAACCCGGTAGCTAGAGAATATCTGGTGATAAGCAGCACTACAACACATGAATTAGAGACAGTACGATGAAGAGATCCAACCATGCACCCACAAAATATGCCCGCCCGATCTACCAATCTTTGGTCAGACAAGCATTCGAAGTCACGAACATCAGCATCAAAATTAATCTTCAAAAAATCATCAGAGGATAAGCACAACCGTAACGAATAGACTCAAAACACTTTATTTTGAGGTTCCATGATTCTCCATAGATAATTTTGTCAAACAGTTGTAATTTATTTCACAGATAATTTTTATTTTATCATATACATTTATAATTTTACCCACACGTTCATATAGGGCGCTGCATGTTTTAGGGGTAGTAGCTAGCTCGCAGCACCTTAAACATCAGGCTTCGGCGGCGGCGCCGGCTCATCAGCTCGAACTATCGCAGCAGTACTAGGGTCTCCGACGGCAGCAGCTTGGAAAGGCACTTCAGTAACTTGGTCGTTACCGACGGCAACAGCATCCTCCAACGTCGACCGTGGAACGTTGGCATCAGTCGTCACAGCGGCCGTAGCAATGAGCATGATGAGAGCGCCAGCCACCATTATCGCAACATTTGGCCTCGATCGTATCCATTATTTCGCCTAGAAATTTCTTAATAAGTAATAATATTCTCTCTCAATTCCGCTTTGTGTATTGTATAATCAGTGGATCATATATAAGCTTCCTTCAAATGAAGGGAAACAGGGAATATGGGTTAGCGACCAATGCATGCACATGAACTGCCGCATGGAGGAGGGCGCCCACCACGTTGCCTGCCGGATTTGCAATTTGGCAAGATTCTTGCATGCACAATCAATGTTCGATGATTACAAACCCACGTATGTAAATTTACAAAATCAGATATAATGGTTGTAGTTCACAGGAAGGAGATATTTGATGTTATACGTCATAAATGGGAAGGAGGAAAATCAGGATTTTTGGCGAACAATTGTCATATTTTTAGAGCTGGCGGGGATTTCCAAATCTGTAGTCAAAGTATTTTTCGAATATGTTACGAAACATCGATAGACCATATGTAATTCGTTTTACATTGAATTTCATAAACATTGCATAGTAAAACAATATTTTATGTGCTCATCTACAAGATGATATTTTATTTTGATATTTTTGGAGCACAAAATTGTAACGTCATCTTACCACTATTATATCACAATATATATTATTATTTATTACTATGGCAATATCATGACATGACGTGGTATGATGGTGTTGTCGGTATGATAAGAACATGGTATGACAGTGATGAAATGATATTATGATGTCTTATCATAGTGATATGATGTTGGCATGACAGTGGTAAAATATTATAACAGTGGCAAAAAATATAATAACATCATAACACTATCATATCAAGATAATTATCATAGTATCATACTAAGGTGACTACTTTGGTGCACTCACAAAAATGAGTGCGTTCAATGCACCCGACTCAAAAACTAGTCTTACGGTGTCGAATTTTGAATTTTAATTTGTAGAATTAGTGTACTATAATGATATAACATATGATAATTAACAACTAATTAGCAGATTACCCTAAGCCCTAGACCTTCAATTTTGAGTTCTATCCCCAAACCCCAAATTGTAAACCCTAACCCTAAATCTCTAAACTCTAAAACTTTCAAATTAAAGTAAATCTTCAATGGTTTTTGTGCAAATTCATGTGCATTATTTTTCATCACATCATAAGTGATGATTGACATCATTTTGACATAAATCTCATATGTTTAAAATGAGGGTTATGAAGCGAGTGCACTGTCATGCGACAGATCCTCTTGAGGTATAATGAAGAAGGTATGTTCTCATACCACTGTCATGCGACAGATCCTCTTGAGATTACTTTTCTTTATCAATTAGTGTTGAGATATATATATGAGACTATTACGAACAAAGAAATTGGTCTAGTGATAATACCATTAGATTTAAATTTGAAGGTTTTATGTTAGAATCTCTTAAGTAATACCTAAATCCAAAAATGTTAACCTATATCATGTGTATATATTTTCTAACTATGATGGTTTTGATCCTAGTTCAAAGTTTCAGCATCAATCATGTTGAAAAGCCATTTCATTTCATTAATTTACCCCAAAAAAAGCCATTTCATTTACTTAGTCCTACCATACTAATTAATAAGTTGCAGTTAAAATGGTGTGAAATATATCAAAATTACGAGTTCAAATAAGTCAAGTCAATGTAACTTACAACTCACTAATCGTTCAAAGAGGTTGGCTTTTGGTTAGGTCTACATCACACTGCAAATGCACAAAAACCACAACGAATCTCCCCAAAGAGGGATGATCACACTCTACGAATAAGAAACCCAAAGACTCAACTGGAACTGAACACACTAGACAAGGAGACCAGACAATAGCTAAACCACTACCGTTATTTGACACACCATGTAATCTTTTCTTAGG